TTATTTTTATAGTATATTTACAGATATAATAATTTCAGTGAAAGCGATTAAATAATGCATATTCTTATGGTCTAATATAATGAAATAACCAAAGAAAATAGATGAGGAAGAGCGTAGTATATGCGAAGTAAAGTTAAGTCTCGAGGAATCTCTTGTTTCATAATTTTTGAGCTTAATTCCATTTTGAGTGAAAGTGTTGGGTAAAGAGATTCGAAGATCGGTGCTACCAGAAGATGACGGCGGATTCATTTTGACCAGCTGTCGATTGGCTTTACTGAAAGATTCATTGTGACGCTGTTTCCGAGGTAATCTCTTTCGATTCCGGTGAAAGATGTCCATCATATGACGGACATCATCAGAGCGAGGTATCATCGTCACAACAAAATTCAAACTATGAGTCAAGAAAACTCACCGGAATCAAAGGAGATTACCTCGGAAACAACGTCCGCATGAATCTTCTAGTAAAGCCCATCGACAGCTGGCCAGGAGGAATCCGCCGTCATCTTCTGGTGGAACCTACCTTTGAATCTCTTCACCCAACACTTTCACTCAAACTGGAAGTAAGCTTGACAATGAAGAGCGTGCTAATCTACTCACCCGCTTCGTAAACGATTCTTCGGCTTGGGTGCCGTCGGAGGTGGTGTTGGCAATCGCTTTGCTCCCCGTACCTTAGTCCGTGTCCCGGATAGCAGGTACTCATTTTCTCTGGGCCGCTCGGACTCACTGTTTTTATCGGCTTGATACAGTCCCATTTGTGACTGACATTGGAGACTATTTGGTGAAAGCACCGCGAAACAACGATCGTTGTGGTTAAGCCAATTCATGTCAGCCGACTGCCTCGGCCCTGCCTCTTTGTGAGCTCGCAATTGCCTCAAGGGCCCCTGTTGCCTGGACTCAACGGCAGGCTTTAAAATTGGATTCTTACTCTTCTCTACGGGCAGATAACTTTTGTGCGCCATCTGAGGTAGGGCCTTGAGAGACCAATCTTGCTTTTCTGTGCAGGTATAATTCTGCCTTAAGGGTATTCGAGGCTCTGAAAATGAAGTTGCAGGGCAAGAACTTGCTTCATTTGAAGATGTTGCAAGTAAAAAACCTGATGGAGACTGGGAAGTCTGTGAGTGAGGGCAAAGGCTGGCTCGAAACTTGTTGGAAAGTCCAGAGAATTTTCCGGACTTATCGGGCTTGGAACAAGTCAAGTTGAGCGCACCCGATGTGACTGGGTTCACGGTACTAGTCGCCCGTAGTTGATGGGGGTAAGTGTGGGACAGGTTAGAATGCTGCTTCTGGCCTCGAGTATGCTGCTCCTGCAGGTAGGCGGTGGATATTATCGTCTGCACAGGCTGTGCAGGGTAGGAACGCTTGATTGTTTTTTCTGTCCTTTTCGGGTTAGCTGATGATCGATGGTGTAGGTAGTTTATGTTATTTTGCTGGATGGCTTCGTAGGTCATGGAACAGGAGTCGCAGTTACCAGATTGGGTTGGTTCGGAGGACAGACAACCTCTAGTGACTAAGCCATTGGCATTGGAGACAGGGCTAATGAAGCCCTGCATCTTGAGGCTTAGTGGACTGGCCTCCGGGCGAAAGTGACTAAAGGCTTCGTTCTTACTTTCTGTAGCCTAAAGTCAATGGCTCTTCTATACAATTACTTCGTTGTCTCTGAGTCAACCCGATAATTGTTTAAAGGCGAGGCGGACTTCTTGTTGAGTTGATTGCTAAATATATAAAAGAAATTTCTCCTTGAAATCAACTGACCTGGAATAACTAAATTATTAATCTTTAAAATACGTGGATATAAGTTCTTTTAATCAGAGGCCTATATTTCATGCCCAAAGTTAATATTTAACTATTGGGCCCTATTTAATCTGCTATATGGCCTAGCCGTATATTCTTTAGTCCAATCACAACATCATGCATAATTGAAATATATTTATTAGAGTCCAAAAGAAAACCTTTTATATCCTATACTTATTAAATACGAAAATTGAGATGCCCTGATTGTTTTTTTTAAATTCATATACTTTAAAATGTTTGTTAATTGCTTAAAAAGTTCGATTACCAAAGAAAAACTAAAATTTTACATTTTCCTTTTTCCACTTGTTGTATCATTATTTTACATATAGACTTGTGCACTTAAGAATAAATAAAGTTTAAAAGGATGAAACATAATGGTTTGCTCTTAAAGTACCATAAAAACAACCAATTTATACCTACTTTATATAGGATATAATGCATTAAGTCACAACCTAAGACCATTGAAACCCAATATTATGAAAATTATTTTTTTTGTGCCTATTAATATGTTACTTTAATCATGAGATCCGATTTACTGCCTTCGAGAAACAGAACTATTTTTGGGTTACCTAGTAGCTTTGACTTTCAGGCAAGAGAGACCTGTTTAAACTAGCACATATAATGGGATTTTGGTTAAGATTCGGGCGAGGTTGAAGCTACTTTCCAGCCTGGAAGAGGAAACATTATGCTAGGAAAGACTGTAAAATTAAATGTTAACAATATGGTCACTCATATCATTGTGGGAAAAGACTGTATTAAATTACAGCTAAACACCTGAGGTAATTAAATTGTTAAGCAAGAATTAATCAAAATTTGAAACATATTCAGCAGAATATAATGTAAATCATATTAATAGAAGATGAAGTCTTTTCGACTTTTGAAGATAAAATAGCTTACAATGGTTTTTGCGTTCAGAAAGTTGAATACATAGAAATAGCGGAATAAGAGGAAACCGGCGATAAACATCTAAGGTCCAACATTTACATGATTTGTGAACTTCACAGCTAAGCTGAAAATTGAAGAGTCATTATAGACTGAAAACTCTATCAATATCCAGTGTAGCAGGAATGAATGTAGTCAAGTGAGCATAAACTAGCTTTGAATATTGCATAGGATTAGGGATATAGAGTAAAATGAACGACCCTGTAAGAGAAGGATTGCTTAGTTTGTGGCTTAACTAGAGCTCCAAAAATCTCATTTAGGTCCACGATGACGCATGCCATCGTTACGAGAGCAAACCTATGGTGATTTAAGTAAATAAACTACTCTTCTGTCACATACACATCGACTTCATTAATCTGCAAACATGTAGGGATAAGTATGAATTAGCCAATCACTTAATGATATCTCTTGTTAAGAACTCAAATTTAGGTTCCAAAAAATGTGTATGGTTGCAACTGGCTACACTTCTTGATGTTGTTTACGGTGATTTTAGTTAAAACATGGTTTCTTACTTGTACAATTTTCACCAAAGAACGCCATGAAAAACTCCGCTTGTCAGTAGACTGAAAATTACTTTACACATATCAACACTAATTAGATTAAGATGACCCTCTTTTAAGTCTCGACAAGTCCTAGCTGCAAATCACTTTGGGCCAAACACTTACTATGAATTCGCCGTCGTCTTCTGGTGGAACCGACCTTCGAATCTCTTCACTTAACACTACTACTCGAAATGGAAGTAAGCCCAAGAACATATCTATTAACAACAAATTTTTATAAGGGTCTTCAAAACAGCTTTTCTACATTTAAATTAAGATAGTAACCAATGGGTACAATCTGGGGGTAACGTTATAAAGCAAATAGCAATGAATAGATATGAAGAGAATTTGAACTTCGAAGACTCCATTAGTAGATTGATACAGTCATAACTCTCATTTCGTTTGAGAAGACGGGTGGGGAAATTAGTAGATTAGCCTCACCGGATACTGAAGGAGGGTTTCCCTGGCCTTTTGTCTGTTAAATTGTGGGAAGAAAACCTCGGATCATCATCATACGACCTCTATTACTCCGTACTGAGCATTCGTCCATCATGTGACGGACATCGTCAGAACCAAAAACCATTATTCACGAACAATCACCAAAAAACCTAAATCAGCACCGAGTACTACGGATAATTAGAATAGCGAGCCGAGGATTTCTTTGCACAATTCAACAGACAAAAGTCCAAGGTAACCGTCCTTCGATATCCGGTGAGGCCAATCTA